TACTGTATATATTATATAGTATTATGAAGAAGTCCGTATATACCACGCGATAGTAGGTATATATAAAATTAGCCAGGTGTGTGGTGGCACGCACCTATAGTCCCAGCTACTCGGGAGGCTAAGGTGGGAAAATTGCTTGAGCCTGGCATGTCTAGGCTTCAGTGAGCCATGACTGTGCCACTGCACTCCAGCCTGGGCAACAGAGCAAGACTCTGTCAGGAAAGAAAAGAAGAGAGAAGAGCAGAGAAGAGAAGAGAAGAGAAGAGAAGAGAAGAGAAGAGAAGAGAAGGGAATGCATTTAAGACATCTCACCTACTGAACATCCTAGCCTGGGCAACAGAGCAAGACTCTGTCAGGAAAGAAAAGAAAAGAGAAGAGAGAAGAGAAGAGAAGAGAAGAGAAGAGAAGAGAAGAGAAGAGAAGAGAAGAGAAGAGAAGAGAAGAGAATGCATTTAAGACATCTCACCTACTGAACATCCTAGCTTTGCCTAGGCTACCTTAAATATGCTCAGAACACTTACACTGCCTACAGTCTGAGCGTATTTACATTAAATATGCTTGGAACACTTACATTGGCCTACAGTCATCTTACACAAAGCCTGTTTTATAAGAAAGTATGGAATATCTCATGTAACTTACTGAATACTGTACTGAAAGTGAAAACCAGAATGGTTGTATGGGTATTTGAAGTACAATTTCTACTGAACGTGTATCACTTTCACACCATCGTAAAGCCAAAAAATTCCAGTCAGGCCATCATAGGTCGGGGACTGTCTGTATGAATGCCTTGCTTTTATTATAGCATTCTCTATTTTCTCTTGTACTGGTAATTTTTGAACAGTTATTTTTACCAGTTCTGTAAATTCCTTGAGAACAGTTTTGTATTTTCTTCAAAACCTAGGACTGTAGTATACAGTAACTGCTTAATACAATATTTGTTAAATGAAGAACAAAAAATACATGGCTAGGCTACTCAGGTCATTACCACAAAATGATTTCTTTAAACTGCGTAATTGGAAGTTACTGTTTTTTCAAAAAAGTATGTCCACAGTATTATGTCATTAATTACTGTACCCTGAGGAATTACTGCTGCTGCTAATCTTTTGGATTCAGTACTTAGAGACATAAATATAAGTGACATTAGCACTGCTACTGTTCAACAAGATTACAAAATAGAAAGTAGATGTACAAGCAGATGTTGGAAAATATCCTCAAAGATAACAAAATGTAGAATATCTTACTAGGCCTGGTTCAGGGACGTAGTCTAAGCTGAAGCTGCCACACATGGTGTTTGATTTCATGGCACACTCTTCTGCAGAACTGGAAAGAGATGTGTCTACTTTGGGGCATTTTCTTGGAAATTTTTTAAAAAATGTGTCTATGATTGATTTTTAAAAAGATAATTTAGGCCAGGCACGGTGGCTTACACCTGTAATCCCAGCACTTTGGGAGGCCGAGGCGGGCGGATCATGAGGTCTGGAGTTCAAGACCATCCTGGCCAACATGGGGAAACTCTGTCTCTACTAAAAATACAAAAAACGAGCTGGGCATGGTGGCACACACCTGTGGTCCCAGCTACTTGGGAAGCTGAGGCAGGAGAATCGTTTGAACCCGGGAGGCGGAGGTTGCAGTGAGCCCAGATCATTCCACTGCACTCCAGCCTGGTAACAGAGCGAGACTCGGTCTCAAAAAAAAAAAAAAAAAGATAATTAAAAGAAACAATACATGCTATTGTATTGGATAGATAAAACAGAGTTTCATGTGACAAAACCTGTACATAAAAATATTTCTTATTGTTTAATCATCGTTTTATGTATGTGGATCACTATGGAATACTGAGCTCAGAAAATAAATTACTTTTCTTTTTCAAAACATTGGATTGGTAGTTTCATCTCGTTTTAGGTAATATTGATTTATCCTAAATTGGTAAAAACAACCTAGATACTATATATATTTAATTTAAGTACCTTGTAGTTCCATGGAAAACAAACTGATAAAATTTTAAGAGTAAATTGACTAAATAAATATAGATTATACTTAAATTTTTTTCTCTATGAACTGGCTTTACAGATGTACTTTAACATTTAATATACCAACATATTTTTGAAAAAAGAATCCATTTTTGTGCAACATGTTTCTAAGTGAACAGTATGACTTCAGATTTTTGAGAGAGTTAACAAAATAATAAGCATTGGATATATTTACCTTTTTTCAAATGTTGTAACAAATTTACCAAAACGCACCACACACACACACACACACACACACTACACAACATCAAACAACAGAAAATGGGATTCTCTCTGTGTCTGTGTTCCACAGTTAGTACCACTACCACTACTACAGTTTGCTTTTATTATAGCATTATCAATTTTCTGCAAATAAGCCTAAATGTCTTATAATTCTACATGTTTATATTACACAGTAATTGAGGAAAAACTAAATATTTTTGAAAGTACATTTAAAATACTACTTTAGAACAATTAATCTGCTTGGGTATACAAAATGAAAGCCAGTTGTTAGAAATCTCTTATACTCCAAAAATTAAAAGAGTGTTAAATGTCAAGGGTTAGACCTGGACTAGAAGCGTGGGTCACTTGGTGGATGACCATGCAACTCAAGAAGAGGAAGAGTGGATTTAGAATTCAAGATAGAGATGAAACACTCATGTACTTAGTACGTGTGAAATTTAGGAGAGGGAGCTGAGCTTGATGGAGCCACGAGTTGCAGTAGCTGAAGCCATGGCTGTGGATAAAGATCCCAAGAGAGTGTGAAAAATGAAACGTGATATAGAAAGTGGAGAAGAAAGGGAATATGGGGACCACTGCACACAAAGGAAATAATATATGTTGTCAACTGCCAACAGCGATGTGTGGAACAGTGGTCTTTACTACATCCTTCTCCAGCTGACCCACCGTCCACACGAACTTATGCATGCTTCCTTTGCTCTGCTCCACCCATGCTCGGTTCATGGTAATTGACATGGCTGTTTCATATCTATTAGCTCACTAGACTGAGCTTACCATTGGGATAGCCAACAACAGCAGTGAACCCTAAATCCTGACGACCCTATCAGCACTTAAGGAGAGCTGGGGAATGAAACTGGAATTCTTTTGGGGCCAGATCATTAACTCATATCTAGTGACACCCCATTTTCCCTCTGGAAAAGTTAATTGTTATGCAATTAGCCTTACAGAATGGAGCATTTCTGTTGGTTTACTAAAACTGTTAAGCCAAAATAGGGCACAAGTGCAAGTCCTGGCTTCAGAAGTTGGCTGTACCTTCCCTTCTGCAGTACAAGGTGAACATCTGTAAAGAAGAGTGCAATGTCCCGGGTGTGTTTAAAGTGACTGCCTTGGCCTCAAACTAAAGCTGTTAAGCCAAAACAGGGCACAAGTGCAAGTCCTGGTTCCAGAATTGGCTGCACCTTCTTTTCTGCAGTATGAGGTGAACATCTGTAAAGAAGAGTACAGTATCCCTGGTGTGTTTACACTGACTGCCTTGTCTTCAGGGATCATTAGATTTCAAAGAAAAAAAGTCACAATATCCTTTGCATGGACCAGATGATGAGAAACTAAATTGTAATTTGGAATTCATTTACAAGAAAAGGCCTGAATGGTTTTCCCATGGACAGGATCTTGGAGGTTAGGAATACTAAATCCTGTGCCCAGCTCAGTCTCTCTGATTGACTAGGGAACATTGTCTTCAGACTACAGAAGTTGCAACCCTAACCCCAAAGCATGAGATATTCAAACCTTTTGAAGGGTGTGATGTTTCCAGGTAATTTGGCTTGGCGCAGGGATTGCATTTATGCCCAACTTTGGCTAAGCGATTTTAGTAGTCCAACAAAAATGCTCTGTTCTGTAAAGCTAATTGCAAAACAATATCTTCACTTCTCCAGATGGAAAACGGGATATGAAAATCCACCAAAGGAAAGAAATATCATTTCCCACACTATGGCTCTGCAATCTTAGAATGGTTTCATGAATATTATGTATGTGCAGTAAACATTTATGACCGTATTTAGGTCCAAGCAGCATGAGGGATTTTATGCTAGTAGTTGTTGATGAGCACTACAAATAGGAATCCTTTATATCTGAGGTATCCATAGTAACTAAGTAGGGCCCATTTCCATCGTGCTTATTTGCTTCCAACCTGCCAACCATGCTTAGACTCTGAGGGCTCCAGGATTCCTAATTCATAAAAAAACACCCCAGAGAGGTGGGTAAGTGCTTTTCAGCAAAAGCAAACTTAAGCAAGTGATTTTAAGAGATTTGAAGAGTGCTACATGGCAGCCAAGATGATAATTTTTGGCCCAAACATAAATTTAATTGAGTAGTGTTATAAAGACAAAATTACATAGCCAGAAACAGAATTATGAGCATTAGGAAAATAATAGTGTTGTCTTGCATCTCCTTGAAATCCCCTGTTATGTTACTCACTCCACTGTTGACTATTTTGTAGGTAGCACACATTCACCTTGCATTTGGCAGAGAACACCAGCTTTGTTATGAATGCTCACAGTTTTTGTAATACAGGGAAATATTTAACATACTAGGGAAGAAAGGTTTAAATTCATTAACATTAATATTGTAATGTTCACATAATCCTCTTAGGACACACTCACTAAAGTGATTTTATAGTGTTTCCATTTAACACACATAGTAGCTTTTCTTATGGATTGTATGTGCAGTGCCGTTGAACAGAAGCATAAAATTGTCAGTGGCCTATATTTTTTAGATTATTTAACTATGATTAGAAATATTTTGATCCATTTTTTTCACTTCATCTCTTTTTCATATTAGTGCACACTTGACCCTTGAACAATACAGGTTTGAGCTGGACGGGTCCACTTATATGCAGATTTCTTTCAATAAAAGTTACACCGAGTGCTCCTGCCTCTCCTGCCTCTTCCATCTCTTCTCCCTTTTCTGCCTCTGTTACCCCTGAAACAGCAAGACCAACCCCTCCTCATCCTCAGCCTACTCAACATGAAGAAGATAAAGATGATCCATTTCCACTTAATGAATAGTGAACAAACTTTCTCTCTTCTTATTTTCTTCTTTGTAGTTTACATGTAGTTTGTAAGAATGCAGTATATAATAATATAACATACAAAATATTTGTTAATCAACTGTGTTATCAGTAAGGCTTGCAGTCAACAGTAGGCTATTAGTAGTTAAGTTTTGTGGAGTCAAAAGTTTTGCGTGGATTTTTGTTGGATTTCTGACTTCACAGGGAGTCAGTGCACCAACCCCTGCATTGTTCCAGGGTCAATTGTATTTTTGTCTGATTTCATGAGGGTGAACTTTTTATACTATACTTTTACAGATAGAAATGAAAGCACTTAGTAATAATTGAATGTATGTACAGTAAAAATATTATAACTGTTGTTCTAAAATAATTATATTAAATTGAAACCTAAGTTAGTCTTCAGGCTTTTTAAGGTTTTGAAATTTGAACTGGAATGTGAAGCAGAATGCACTAGAATAACATTTCTCCTTTCTCCAGTGTCAAGATGGGAAGGCACACATTCTAAGAATCTGTATCCCCATCTATTTTTCACTAATATTCAAGCTATAGTTACTGGCTAAAATGATGAAGCATCAAAATTTGTGAACTCTGGGAATCATAGCAAGTGTATAACTATAATTCCTTTGTGTCTAAGGAGGGTGGACCTCTATATTAGAGAGAAAATTTACAAACGTTGAGGATAAATGGAAATTGAGATTGACTCCTAAGGAAACATCTGTTCACTCACTCAGCAAACATTTATTCCACTCTGCTAATGCTAGGCACTGTGCTAGATATTTGGAGAGACACTGGGGAAAAGCCTAAGGTCTCTAGTCTTGTGGCTCTTACATTCTAGAGAGGGATTACAAATGGTGGCATAGTTATTAAAAAAATAAAGATGATGATTTCAAGACATGATAAGAGCGAAGAAGAAAAGTGAACCAAGTTAATGTAATGGAGAGTATTGGAGTGGGCAAGGCTGCTTTAGATCAGAGAGTCTGGGTGGACTTGACGGAGGAGGTCATGGATAGCCTTGCAGCTGGTAGTCCTGTGGGCAACATTAACAGCAGATAGAATGAGAGGGTTAGGGGCTAACTGAGCATTCACCTTTGTCTTCTTTTTCCCCTCGGTTATGAGTGTGACTAGGCGGAACATTCAAGAGAGATGTTGCAGGTGTCGTAACAGTCATGTAAAAGGCAAGATGATTCATTGTATCTGTTCTTTTTGTGATACTCGTGTGACTACCTATAAGCTTCAAAGTGAAATAAACATTACCTCTTCTACCTTAGCCCGCTTCTCATCATTACAAATTTAAGAAGGCAATTATTAATGTGAACAGTCATTCTTCTTTTCAGCAGTGCTAACTTAAAAAAAAATCACTAGCACTTAGCTGAGATGCAGCTGACATGTACCAAGATTGCTTGCCATTGCCCTCTCAACCCATCTGAGTCTAGTTTTTCTTTCTGCTGCTGTTTTCCTTCTGCTGCCGTTTTTCTTTCTGCTGCTATCAAGATGGGAACATGTGCCTTCCCATCTTGACACTAGTAGAGAGAGAGATTGAGAGAGTGAGGGGGCAGAAATCAGTTCTGATTTTCTAGTTTCTAAACACTGCAGAAGAACAAAGTAGAGAAGAAAGAGGAGAGTGTGTGAGGAAAGAAGTGGCAAGAGATGCATGAGATAACTTAGCAAGGAGTTAAATCACTAGCTCACATAATGACAAAGAAATTGACACTCTAAATTGAGAGCCTGCCATTTTTGTTAACTGGTATCCCTGAATGTAGCTAATGGCACAAGCTACATAGAAACAGCGCTTGTCCTGTTTTTGTAATGAGCAGAAATCTAGCCCACTGAGACATTGAGTTCTTTTCTAACTTTTTGCTCTGTTGAGAACATCTTTGCTTTTGGATACAAAGGCAGCATGAAAATCCGGAGGCCTTCTCAGGAAGGGGAACTTCTAGGAACTTAATCTGTTAGTGGGAGAGCCAGGAACCAGCACACTTGGAGTGTTATCTGAGCAGGAGGAGTCAGAATTGGCTGGCCAGTTTTCCCTTAATGAGTGTTTATTATGTTTAAGCTACAGAACTAATTACTGTGAAAAGACATAAAGGAACAAGAAGACCAAAATCGTATCCTCATGATACTGACAAATCAGTTGGACTGAGCACACATGAATCAACTGAAGAACACTTCTGCCAAGTTCAAGTTGTGTAAAAGTGGAGGATATGAGTCTTGTGGGGACACAGAGTTGAGGCATGAGCTATTAGTCAGAGCCATAAGGCTGCCTGCAGGAGAAGAACTTTGGATGGAGTTTTGAAGGAAGTGAGGAAAAGATCTGAATTAACGTATTAATACATAAAGCTTGTCATCTGAACAGGACTAGAAGCATCTCGAGGGTAAGAACGTGCCTTCTCTTTCTTACACATTCCCTGAAGACCCACGTTCCTTGTTGGGCACTCTGTAACAGTATTTACTAAGCACTTGAATACCTGGACATGGGCACCATGTTGCTAAGTTGATTAAAGGTTTATCTTCCGCTCTGCCACTGCCCATAGCACAAAGTGGAAACATGTCACAAGCACCTTGTAGATCTGTCCCTTTTTTCTTCTGATGTTCACCCTCCTTTTGAGCTCTTTTTCTCTCCAACAGTGCTTACAAAATAATCTTTCTGCATCTGAGAGGGAGCAAATATTCAGTAACTTTCTGCCGTTGGCCTCCCTAAAGAGGAGAATCTGCTGAATGCCACCGGAAATGTAAGGATCTCTTGTGACAGTAACGTCTCAGGGGAAAACTAGTGGTTAAATTGTTAATTCTTTGCGTCTGAAACTTTTTTCATTTGCAGTGCAGATAAGTGCCTGATCTTAGAGTATCATGTTTCTGACTTCTTTGGTCTGGCTTCATTTTTTTTTTTTTTTCCAAAATGCCGTTTTCATTTGTTCTTAGAGTTCAGAACATGTCAGAGAGCTTCTCTGAGCAGTAGGTGATTTTACAGAGCCCACAGAGAAGGAAAACTAAATGTCATCCCAGTTGTAGTCCACTACGATCAGGGAGGAGTCAGATTACTCTCCAGGCTTTGCTGTGTCTGCTTGTGAAACAGGAAAGGGAGAACTGAGGCAATGAGTCACCTTATTTGGGCCCAAAGCACCACCTATGTTGAATATGGAGGAAATTTGAAGCAAGAGTTTCTTTTTATAGGTACTGTGTACATAATCACCATTTTCTCCATGGTTCTTATCCAATTCAGTGCATCTTTAGGGATGGCTTATGGAATCATGATATAGCAGAAAAATACAGGTGATATCAGTCTTGCCTGTTTCTACCTAACTCTTTCATTTAAACTCTCACTAGAATCTATAGGAACTGTTAGCATAAATTTTAATAAGTTGTCGACTAGGTGATTAGTGGTATTTATTGGTTATTTTTGACAAAATAATGGAATCATCAAATTTTGAGTTGAGAAGTAAAGTAATAATTTATGCCAAACCCCAAATGCAGACAAGGTCACATTATAAACATTAATGCTGTCCCAAACTGCCAATGCATTGCATACAAGTGAGTCTAGTAGGTTACCGTTGAGTTCCTCTACTTATGCTTTAAGAGGTTGGCATTGGTAAGCCACTACATTTTCTTGATCAATGAGGCAGAAACCCCTTTGCAAAACACTCAGCTGATGAAAAGATTAGCTAGAATGACTCTAGGAACTGTCTTCTAAGGATCTGACTCATTCATTCCCTTCTTTTTTTTTTTTTTTTTTTTTTTTTTGGTAGGGTTCTCTGGGCCAAGTTAGTTCGAGTATGTATCATTTAAAATAGGATATTACCATCACCATCATCATGTACATTCGTAAATCAAAGCGAGATTAGAGAAGGAATATGGTGGATCACAGAGCAACTCAGAAAGATGACAGCAACAACTAGGAAATGAAACACCATAGTTGTATTTCAGGAACCCTACCCAGCAGATAGGAATTACCATAGCTCCTAAAATTCCATCTGGGTGGTTGATGGAGCCTCAAGTAATCTGACACCATAGCCCACACTCCCCTCTTGCTACCTGCTGAAGTTAGCAGGGAAAAGTCAAAGAGGGTGCTGTCAGTGGAGTCAGTTCTGAGGGATCATAGTGAATCACCCTCCATTGCACTGACTCTTTCCCACAAAATGGGCTAGAGACAACAGCTCTCCTTATGTATTTAAGAAAGAATGGTCAAAAAATACAATTCTCATTTTTTTCTGATGTACACCATTTTGACAATGTTTCACCATGTAGGTAATATGAATGGGGGCATTTAAACACAGTCCTGTTTAATATCCTTAGCCAGTACTTATTAAATGCCTACCAAGCCCAGCACTGTTCTAGAAACCTCAAAATACACCTTTAAAAACACATTTTATTGACAGTTGTATAAATGAAGAAAACAAGTCTCCGAAAATTAAAGTAACTTGCACAGATACACGAGCTAGAAAGTAATAAAACTGAATTTTGAACCCAGGTCTGTCAGACTCCAAAGTCCATGATTTTCTGCTCCATATGGCCAACCCAGTTAGAAAGGTTATAAAAAATCTTAACAGTTTTTCAGCCCTTCTCACACTTAGTTTTAAGATTAAAGTATTGGTCACGATTTGAAAAAAACAAAAAACAAAAAAAAAAGTGGTGTACAATATTCCAGCTATATTCAATAAACATTTGTTGAACACAACACATGTATATACAGGTCACTGTTACAGGTGTGTGTATAAGTAAATATAATATGGTCCTTAGCTTTAAGACCTTACAGTCTAGGGGTAGATATGCATATCCATACAACTTCTATTTATTTTTGAACTTCGACTATGTGTCAGGTGTTACGCTGAGCACGTTGTCTTGATTTATTATTTAATCCTTACAAGAGCCATGTAAGGTAGTGGTTTCAGAAATATTTTTGCCGAAATGTAAATAGTAAAAAACAATATGTGAAGCCTTTATTCCAACTATGTAAAATAAGGAAGGCTTTACAAAGGAGGTGAATGACACTTCAGCTGAGCCCTAAAGAATGAATAGGATTCTAATAGAACAGCTGGGGGCAGGCGTGGTGGCTCACACCTGTAATCCCAGCACTTCGGGAGGTGGGCAGATCACATTAGGTCAGGAGTTTGAGACCAGCCTGGCCACCATGGCAAAAGCCCATCTCTGCTAAAAATACAAAAATTAGCCAGGTGTGGTGGCACATTCCTGTAATCCCAGCCACTCGGAGGCTGAGGCAGGAAAATTGCTTGAACCCACGAGGTGGAGGTTTCTGTGAGCCGAGATGGTGCCACTGCACTCCAGCCTGGCCAGGGGGAGACTCCATCTAAAAACAAAACAAACAAAACAGCTGGAAGAGGACTTTCCTGTGACAGGGCCTTTCATGTCATGTGAAAAGTAGGAGTAAATCAATGGAGGCAGGGAAATGTAGGGTGTATTTAGTAAGGGCAGCTAGTTTGGATTGGATAGTGTACATTAGAGACATACCATGAGTGAGGGAGTGAATGTGGACAGTGAACCTAAACGCTTAGTGGTAGCAGGTCACGAGGGCCGTGCATACATGCGTAAAGAGATTGGACGTTGCAGGAAATGGGAAGCTATTAAAGATTTCTAAGCAAGAGAATAACAGGTCAAATCCAACATGATTTGGAAAAAACGTAGGCTCAGTCAGAAGCCATAGTCTAATGACCAATGCATCATAATTATTTGCTACCCTAATTTTCTTCTTTAGAAGTCAGCTTTTAAAATATGTGTTTATAATACAGGTTTATACATTTTTACATGGTTGAAACAAAGAATAATAATATTTATTATGTAAGATTCAAATTTCAGTATCAACAAATAAAGTTTCCCTGGGCACAGTCGCACCTATTGGTTCACGTGTTGTCTACACCTGCCTTCCTACTACAGTGACAGAATTGAGTACCTGCCACAGAGACCATCTGCCCAACAAAGCCTGAATTATTTACCATCTGACCCTTAAGAGAAGAAGTTTGCTGACTCTTGCTCTATTGCGTCTTTCTGGCCCTCTTAATCCATTTATATAGGTTTCTTCCCTTTGTGTGTGAATGGAAAATGAATTTAAGTTCATTAGTAGAAGCAAGAAACCTTTAGCTTGGCCTCCAGGTATTATTTGTTTTCCTTCTCATGAGAATTTTGAATGTCCTGTATCTACATTCTCAAGGCTAAAGAATAATGAGGCAGAATATGTTTTCTCCATTACTATATCCCCTTTCTACGGGGATTCTGAAGGTGTGGTTTTCCCTCTAGGTGAGAGAACTATATTCCTTTTCTAGGCAGATTCCATTTTAGTTCACACTCAGGCTGTCAGATACACAGAACAATGTCACACAAGCTTCTTAAGACCTCTTAAAAATCACTTCCAGTTTGACTTCTGCCCATACCTTATTTTGTTAGTTTTCCTCAGAAAGGCTCGGGAATAGCAGAATAACCTTTGATTACCAACAATAGATTTAATTTTCCTATTTGATATGATGATGTCACAGAAAATAACCAATTGCTTTATGTGCTCTGTAGCTTTGTG